TGTGCTAGACTTGTTACTACAAATATAAATAAAACAAGAGGAATCATCCCCATACTAATGGTGAGCAAATGAAGAGAACACAATGGAATATATCTAAAAACAACTAGAGGTATACACCAGACCCTGCAAAAAAGCCTCCTGCCCATGGTTCTGAAATCTTTACTGTTCTGTGGAGAGACTACAAATCACTTAGATTTGTTCAACAGATTTCTTCTTTTTTCAGTACTCTGTCCAGTTATTTCACTTTTATATTCTTAAGGGGATAGATTGTTAACATTTCTCTAGACGAAGATAACTCTTTTTTTTTTTTTCTGTTTTTTTGTTTGTTTGTTTGTTTATTTGTTTGTTTAGAGACTGGTTCTTGTAGCACTGCCTAAGCTGGGCTCAAACTTCAGGGCTCAAGTGATCCTCTCACTTCAGCCTACCAAGTAGCTGGGACTAGAGGCACGTGCTTTTCTGGTTCTTTTTTTTTCCTTTTTTTTTTTTTGAGACGGAGTCTTGCTCTGTCATCCAGGTTGGAGTGCCATGGCGGGATCTCAGCTCGCTGCAACTTCTGTCTCCCGGGTTTAAGTGATTCTCCTGCCTCAGCCTCCTGAGTAGCTGGGATTTCAGGTGCCCGCCACCACGCCCAGCTAATTTTTGTATTTTTGGTAGAGATGGGTTTTCACCATGTTGATCAGGCTGGTCTCAAACTCCTGAACTCGTGATCTGCCTGCCTAGGCCTCCCAAAGTGCTGGGATTACAGGCATGAGCCACCACGCCTGGCTTTCATTCTTTTTTTTTTTTTTTTTTGAGACGGAGTCTTGCTCTGTCGCCCAGGCTGGAGTGCAGTGGCCGGATCTCGGCTCACTGCAAGCTCCGCCTCCCGGGTTCACGCCATTCTCCGGCCTCAGCCTCCCGAGTAGCTGGGACTACAGGCGCCCGCCACCTCGCCCGGCTAGTTTTTTGTAATTTTTAGTAGAGACGGGGTTTCACCGTGTTAGCCAGGATGGTCTCGATCTCCTGACCTCGTGATCCGCCCGTCTCAGCCTCCCAAAGTGCTGGGATTACAGGCTTGTGCTTTCATTCTTAAATTAGATAAATAAACTCAAGTGCTCAGCCCAATGCCTGGCATATGGTGAATACAATAGGTGGCAATTTTCTTTAGGCTGAAGTATGACTGTGTGTACTGTGTATTGGTTTAGCCTGCCCATAGCCAATAACCATCCATTATTAAGCTCTGAACTTTTATGCTGCCCTTGCTCCTGCAAGAAAGAAAGGGGATTCTCTCTGAGCCTACACTGGCTCGGGTGGCTGCCTGATAAAAAAGAATAAAAGTTACATAAAATTTAAAAAAATGAATAATGCCAAATAACTATTCAGCCTCAGGCAAAGAAGGAAAAAGCAAATAAATCACTTCTATGCAAAGTAGTATGATAAATAACAAAAATTGAGATGCTCAATGAGCATGACACAGCACTTCTTCATTCATTATCCTATTGTAAGAGCCAAGGCAGTTGGTGGGGGAGCTGGGGACAGAAAGAGAAACATAATACTATTGACTGAATGCTCACTGACTGAGCTCCTATTTTATATCAGATGCTTTGTTGTGACTTGGGGGACACAGAGACAGATGTCACCCACATCCTACTCTCCAGAAAGTCACTCTAGCAGGCAGAAGCAGAAATATAAAACTAAAATTGCTGAAAATATATTTTTGGCTATACAAGCTATTGTTTGGACACAAAGGAGGGGAATTGTAAGTCCTGGGAATGAGTGAAGGTTAAGAAACAGCTGGAGAAGGAGTAATGCTTCAGCTGACTCTTAAAAGACATGTTTTCTCTAGGGAAAGAGTTTTCCAGGTTTGAACAAAAGTCTGAAGGTGGCCAGGCGCAGTGGCCCATGCCTGTAATCCCAGCACTTTGGGAGGCTGAGGCAGGTAGATCAACTGAGGTCAGGAGTTTGAAACCAGCCTGGCCGACATAGCCGGGCATGGTTGTGGGTGCCTGTAATCCCAGCTAGTTGGGAGGCAGAGGCAGGAGAATTGCTTGAACGCTGGAGGTGAAGGTTGCAGTGAGCCGAAGTCGTGCCATTGCACTCCAGCCTGGGCAAGAAAAGCAAAACTCTGTCTTAAAAAAAAAAAAAGAATCTGAAGTCTTGAAACAGCTACACTGTGTTCTGGGTGTTATAAGGGTGAAGGATAGAAGAATTATAGTAATAGCAGCTAATATTTCTAATTTATAATAAGAACTAAACACTGGCTGGGCACAGTGGCTCACGCCCGTAATCCCAGCACTTTGGGAGGCTGAGATGGGTGGATCACCTGAGGTCAGGAGTTTGAGACCAGCTTGGCCAACATGGTGAAACCTCGTCTCTACTAAAAATATAAACATTAGCCAGGCGTGGTGGCAGGCACCTGTAATCCCAGCTACTTGGGAGGCTGAGGCAGGAAAATTGCTTGAACCTGGGAGGCGGAGACTGCGGTGAACCAAGATCACGACGCCACTTCACTGTAGCCCTGGGATGACAGAGTAAAGACTCTGTCCT